GGGGTCACGCTCCGTGGGCGCTCCATTAGCTCAGTTCAGTTGGTACAATGTATCTTGTTCTGGTTCGATAGCCCTGGTTCGAATCCTAGACTAGGCGTTCTTAAACTCTGGTGGTTTTGTGGAGTTCTCAATCCTATCAGATACGAGAGTTCAATTCGGAGGTCGCTCCTCTTATATAACCTCATAGTATTAATAGGGGCTTGAAACCAATACACTTACGTACACTCAAGGTCTAGCTTATAACGTAGCTACAGAAAGTCGATGAGTGCTGTGTGTACGACCTGGCCCGCTCGCTGGAAATATTTTGAATTGAGCATGTCTATAAAAAGTTCAGGTTTGGGTACCGGTACCTTGGAAGTAGTAGTTTGTGTGTGTGTGTGGGGGGGGGGGGGGGTATAGTGGAAGCAAACCAACTAAGGCCACGGTAAAGTCGAACATTATTCTGCTATTGAAGGCTGCCTCCCTGTCATAAATTAAGTTTGTTACACAGTTTAAGCCGCCCTAGCCAATGTCTCCAGCTTCTTTCGACTCTGGTATAAAGTTGTTGTTCAGTCTTTCAAATTTGCCACGACGCAGTGCACTCACCATCACTTTGTTGTGTTTTTAGTAGTGTGTTTCTTCCACAACAACAAAGATACCATTGATTTTTGACGCCCGTGGTTATGTTACACATCGTCACAGACACTGAGGCCGGATGCTCCGCACAGCGGTCAAATTTATTCATTCCTGGTGTTGGGGCCATCTACATTTTCACCAGCTGTGGTATAAAAACGAGCGAGAGAGCGCAACGATTATGATTGTCACATGTGGATGGAGTTAGAAAGGACTTCTGTGTCTGTATTGTTAGGTGATTGTCCTCAGTGCCGCGAGGATGAGTGTGTAGAAAACTCGTTCGTCGGTGTATAATTGGAATTATTGAAAAGTTTGGGGTATTTTTTGGAGCCCTTTGGTCAATTTCGTTTATTCTTTTTTTTCAAATACATATTTTTGATCAGTCATTTGTAAATTTCTTCAAACGCGTCGCAGTAGGGCTGTGAATCGTGAATTTCTTTCTTTGTGATTTTGTGAAGCTGTTGGTTTCTCACTTATTCTTTGGACGCTTTATTCTTTTTGGTACCCCATATTACTGAACTGTAGACTTGGAGGTGTTTTCAGAGTGGTTCGTGAATGGAATTAAGTTGGATGTTTCTTTGACAACCACAAGACGATTCTGAAACAAGAGGATATAACTGAAAATTTTCCTTTCGTGTTCATCTTGAAGTCGCCGGCCATCTCGCCATTGTGGCCAAAATAACTGCAGACCAAAGATTGCCGTTCTTCGCATACTTCAACGTCACTGAATTGGAGGTTTTCTACAACACTCTCGCGAATTCGTTTCTTTCATTGATGTATTCTTTGCAATGCAGTGTCAGTTTTATTTTGGTATAGTAGTCATTGTTACTTTACTGCGGGTGGTTGGAGGGTAGTACTGGTAGGTCCTATTCCTTTATTTTTCCCTCTGTGGATTCTGTCTGTCTTTTTACTTTTTCCCAGCGGGAAATGGCCGGTATTGTGTCGATGTGCTTCTCTTTACTTACTCAAACTCCAAACTTCCCCTCTGTTGTATCTATCTGTTTGCTTTTTCCTGGCACTGTATGACCGTTATTGTGTCATTGTGCTTATGTTAACCACAAACTGAAGTTACCTTACATTCTACGTAAATGCTGTACATGTTGGAGTGGGACTACTTACTAATACTCGTGTCTCTCTCCCCAGGCTATGGTTTTGTAGACTTTGAGAACCCGCAGGCAGCAGAGTTGGCCGTACAGACGCTTCAGGGGCAGGGCATACAAGCACAGATGGCGAAGGTGAGTGACCCTCTTCTTTGTTTGTGTCTTTCTGTATGTTACTTTTTTTTTTTTTTACTCTCCTTCTATCTTAACAACATCTATCGAATCCTAATAGTGTTGCCGGACTTTGGAGAGACCAGAAAAAAATGTTTTTAATGTAGTATTTTGAAGAATTTGTTCTTCCTCGTTGGTTCCCACAGAATTCTTGATTTTTTTAAAGTCCATTGGTCTTGTACCCAAGATGTTAAAAGTGATCTTTCAAAAATGTAAATGACTGTTTTTACTTCCAGATTTTTCATCGTGCACTTTTAGCTTCCGCAATTCCGACTTAACAAAACAGAAGCAAACCATGCTGTGAACTAATATGAAAACAATAAACTTGAATCCCGCGCTCTCATTCTTTGGGGCAAGCGATTTAGTGAGGGTTGTGGCGTGGCCTGCCATTTCTGTCTTTGCTACTATTCAACTGTCGTCCCAGTCGGTTCCTGGCGAAATGTGTCGTTTTGTGTCGCCCTTTCATATGCTGCAACTAACCTCTCAACTCGGCCAGTGAAGCCAATAACTGGAGAAAGGATGGTGGGTGGTGTGGCTTGCTCCCTTTTCCCCCCTAATCATACATGTTTCAACCGTATCCCTCCTTTTCTTTACACGTTACTCTGTAGTAACACCTCTGATCTTCGACTCTTGTATGACCTGATTGTGTTGCAAGTGCCGTAAAACGCTTACTAAAACTTAATAAACTATAATAACAAACAAAACCCCCAAAAAAAGTACAGCAAAGAATGGATCACGATCAGGGTCAGTGTCTTGTCACACATGGACGTTGAGTGCTAAGCCCAGAGTATGTCTAAACACTACATGTCATCGCGAGTTATCGCTCTTCTGTATCAGAATAGCAACAGGGAGGTTTGGTTTGCAGTTGTTTGGGTTATTTTTTTCGGGGGTTGTTTACTGTTTTTGTCTTTGTTTTGGGTTTTCTTTTCTTTCTTTTTTTTCCTTCTTATTTTTTCTTCTTTTTTTTTCTTCTGTCCTATCATGTTTGTGTATTCAGCACAGTGCCATGCTTCAAGCGAGAAACATACACTATAATGTCCTTCTTATTAGCTTAGCCATTTGTCGTTGCGAGCGCCTTAAAACTCTTACTAAACTATACTTCAATATTTTACAAGATACGTGACACATGCCGCTCTAAAAAAGAAAAAAGAAAAATCTCATTCCTATCTTTCTCCCTCTCTCCATCTCTCCCTGTGTCTTTGTCTCTGTCTGTCTGTCTGTCTGTCTGTCTGTCTGTCTCTCTCTCTCTCTCTCTCTCTCTCTCTCTCTCTCTCTCTCTCTTTTCTGTGCTTGTCTTTGATCGAGGCCAAAGGTGAAGAGCCGTAGCGCTCTGGTACGCAACGCTGGTATTGTTTAAATGTTTAAAACGAACGTCCCCGCTGCAGGACACCCTACGGTGCCTTCTGAAAGCAAGTACATGTACAGAGTAACAATGGTATAGATAGATCTACAGGGGTCTGCCATGCTAAAACTAGACGGAGTTCAGGGAACGAGATAAACATTGTAGGCAGCTATACTCTCTCTCTCTCTCTCTCTCTCTCTCTCTC